ATAAATGCCTGATCAGCTTGGATATCAGCTTGAGAATAGGACGGATACATGTTGCCTCCTGGGCTTTCAAAAGAAGGCTGCTTGGCGGTGTCAGACGACTCTAATAAAATATTTGGCGACTCGCTTGCTTCTGCCGAAACTAGGTTGTTTCCATCAGCCGGATCTGGAGTTTTGGTAAGTCTATCACTTTGGACAATTTTGTCAAAAGCGTCAGTGTTGACTTCGGATGTGAGTTGATGGGGAAGAGAAAGAGCGTCTTGCAAACGCCGAAGAATTGAGAGAACGGCGCGACGTCCAGCAGAAGAGTCGTCCCAACGGGTAGTTGAAGTAGAGGAGGAAGATTGTCGAGAAAGATAGTTGGCTGTGGCAGAAACTCTACAGTGATAAGACCTCTGCAAGTTTTGAATGCCCTACAAAAATTAAAGCACCAAAACAAAAATAAATTACGGGGAAACAAACGATAAGCATAAATATAATATTCGTTAAGCTTTTTCCTAGAAAGCATTGATAGCAGACCTGGTGATAATGCGAAAGCCGATTCTTTTGAAACTCGAAAACATCGGAATCCAGTCAAAAAAAATTCAGAAGAACTTAAATAAAGGTCACGTTTTTAATAAAGCTACATAAGATAAGTATATTTCGATACAAGCAAATCTTGAATAAGAAATTTAGACAAATAAGTTAGCTTAGGCGGAGTATGCCGAATAGGTATTAATAGTTAAATTTTCTGCAACAAAATGATTATGCCTCATGATGTCATTGAATTTCGTTTTGATTTGTCTTAAAGGTTTCCTTATCTAGGTTGGATTGCAGTTTTGGCTTCGTTGATAGCCCGAAAAACCACTCACGTAGTAAATAAAGAAAGGAATCCATTGTAATGGCAAAGTAGGTGCGTCTCTTTAATAATCCCACTATAATAATGTAAAGTAGGAAATTTCAGGCTTGCTTTGAAAGTCGTGTCTGCCCTGAGTATTGGAGTGGCAGTGTGCCAGCGTTTGACACACACGATCCGGTTTAGAATTTCGATGGAAGTGCTGATAACATAGATGTCAGACTTTCAGTCAACCCTGGTCGATAAAAACTACTAGGAGACAAAGCAATGTGAAATTTAATGACCTTCTGAGGCTTACTCAAGCGAATTGTAGCGACCAAGAGCGACTAAAGTTCTTATGTTTGTATAACTCTTGTTTTAATTTTTAACAAATTTATTAGTTATTCAGATAATTGAATGAGTGAAATATTCGTCCGCAAAGAATAATCAACACTTCATAAACTAATTCATTCAACCTGAGACAAAAAATTTGGATTTTTCTGGAGTCTACAACATAAAGCGAAACGATTTGGAGAAAAGCTACATAAAATAAACTAGAAGAATAACCAACATAAGAAATAGAGAATAAAGGCGACTCTGAAGGATAATGAGAAAAGAAACGGGTAATTTCATTGGGGGGCAATAAAATTAACTCGAATGCAACCAAAAGTTAGCATACGCTGAAAATACATACTGAGTGAAATGTAATGGAAACCGTAAGATTATTCATATCCTTGTTATAAAATTAAATTTTTACTCCTTCATCACCTTATTGTACCTAGAGTGACAAGAGCTATTATACTTTATATTACATTTAAATGTCAAGTCAATGGAGCCTGCACAACCTTGTGTTTGGGTCCACTTTATTATGTGGTGTTCAATGAGTTCCGATTTTTCAACGCATATGCCTTTACCAGGGGCTTTGCGTTCAAGTAATCTCTTCTGGATGGGTCAACAGGTCTACTCTACATGAGCATTAACACATGAGTACAAAACCTCATAACACCCTGATCTAGAAAAAGGTCCTGAAATTCTCTAAAAAAGGCTTAAACAAGAAAAATTCTAATTTTTTTTATGCATTGTCCTCTTCCACTTCCTCGGTGGCTAGCCAAACTTTTCTGTAGGCTGACAAAGGTAAATTAATCCAATTATCTAAGTTTTCCCTAACCTTTTACCTAATATAATCGAAGGATGTTAATCTAAAGTTAACTCTGAACTATAGGTTGCCCCGAGTATTGAAATATTAGTATGCATACAGTTTCATTAGGGGAATTCCTACGAGTTAGAGAATAGATACCTGATCGAGAGGCAATTTTCTTGTGAGATTTGATGTAGTATAGAGTAAGCAAAGACTCAATCAATAGATTGATTAATTCAGTGAAGAACAGTAAAGATATGTAGAAAAACTGGCTTTCCAAGAATCACTTTAAGATTGATGCCGGAATACCCTTCACTTCACTTGGAGAGGCGAAGGGAAGGGATTCGTAAGTTGGCCTCATCGGAAGCTGTGGTTGCCGATTTGTGCGATTAGGTCCTTGGCGCACCGCCCTGCAACCTCGATGAATCCATACTGAGCTTAAACCCGTCCCATGACGGACATCGTCAGAGCAGAACATCATGCTTTACGATAATTCACCAAGCACAAAGACAAGAAAGGTGGCCGACTGCAATCTTACTTATTTATTATAGCCTAACTTAATCCAGTTAATGTGATATCTCACAATTTGGCTGGATATCCTAATCCTTCCCTGCATGCTCTTGAAAAATGAATTGGTCGCGGATGAAGCATGAAACGGATGCAGTTGTGAGCGAACAGTTACAGCCTCCCATAAATCATCCATATTTTTGATGCTGCAATGTGATTGCGTTACATTGCACATGTTTTGTGCAACCGCTGAATTACAAATTCAGAGGCTGTCTACAACATTGTGCAACAAATCGGGAATAAGGGAAATGAAAAGTGAATACAGTCCTCAACGAGATGCCAGGTCCTCGAATGCATATGGTATGCCCAAGATGCATAAGTAAGAAGTCCCTCTGAGAATTATTGTCAATAATCAGAGTAGGGTGATATATCTGTCAGTGAATAAAGCAAATCTGAGGCATGGTTTCTTAAGAATTCATACAATTAGTCGATGAGCAGATGATAGATGGCGATTTGCTTGCTACTTTTGATGTGGAGTCTATGTATATTAACATCCCTGTAAGAGAAATTACATGGGCTCTAGAAAAATACTGGATCAACACCCGCATGTCTTGAAAAGCATAAATTTAACTAAGAAGTCAATAATGACATTAAATAATTTAGTGATGAGCTGTACTTATTTGACTTTCCTTTGTAGATTCTATGAACAAACACAAGGCTTAGCTATTGGATCCAATTTTTCCTATTTTAGAAAATAACTACATGGCACAATTAGAAAGTAGCCTAATCTGAGGCATTTTCGCCTCTTAAATTATGGGTTAAGTACACTAATGGCTAATTTACCGTTTGACAACACGGCAAAGAAGGCCTAGAAGACTTTCTAATGTTAATGAATAGAATTGATGGGAAAGCCAAGTTCATTATGGAATCAGAAAAATATGGCAACTTACCGTTCCTAGATGTCCTAGTTAGTAGAAGGAAAAAAATAGGTATAAATGTATGTAGGAAACTCAAAAATGCGTGTGATCTACGTCGCTGGATTTTCTTGATATCCTTCTGATAGCAACATGCTTTGAAGGGGAAGGAAGCAAAAAAAACCACTCTTTGGTAATTGCAAAAATCAGCAGCAATCCTAACCATCCTATCGATACTATATTCTTGCAATAAATCATTTCAAGTAACCTTTTTAGAGCTATCTACACGTTACATTCTTTGCAACCTATGAAACATGATCCAAATACAACTCAATGCGCATTACCTTCCAATAAGTTGTTAAGAGATTACGTGTGTCTCTCAAGACTATTCAAAAATTGAGATAAAGGCAAAAATATAAGTTTCAATCTTAGTTTCAAACGCTTAATTTAGGTTAAAATTAAGCTTGAAAAGATTATAAGCCACTGTGTAACCAATCTTTCATAAAATACCCATTTTTATTAAGTCCACTATTGGTCCTATTGGCTCCAACACAGCATGAAAAAAAACGTCTGCATATCTCTGCATAGACACCATGCTGACCGTCTCCCTCGACCAGACGCAATAGCCTTGCCTTAACTCTTAATTCAGTATTTATTCATAAAGAAATAAAAAGTAAAAGCATGCGAATCTTACTTTTTGGAAGCTTGTGAGCTTCAGTTTCGGAGTTTCACTGAGAAGCAGCTCGCCATAGACCCGCCAAATATCAGGATCCTGAGAAGTCTATGAAAAAATGGAGTAAATAAAATGATGACTCGAAATTAAAAGAAAAATGTTTTGTACTAAAATAAAGAAAAATGTTTTGTTGTAAGCCAAGTTGCAACCATTAAAGAATAGCTTATGAGAATGATAAGACTACGAAGTGATTAGATTGAAATAAATCAGGAAAAAATCACACAAAGCAGTAGCCAGAATTTAAGGCCATTTTAGCCTTTCAAAACGGAGCAACAATATATATATAACTGAGAAATATGGTCATTTTTCACTTATTCATTTCCCGTTTATTCACAAACATCTAAATAGCACCTCTACTAATAGTTTTTAGCCTGTCGCTAGAATCTTTAACTAAGGCTTTATAAGTAAAGGCATCATTTAAATGATATAGTTTATTTTGTTATTTAATATAGCTATAGCAACTAATTCGCTTTTAGCTGGTTTCAGGTCAATCAATTTATCATAAGGTAAATATTAGGAAATCATGCTCAGATAATAAGATCTCAGTCAAATTATATAATAACGATGTTGTGAAGACATTCATTTCGTATGAAAGTGAATGATATAGAGATTCGTATATCAATCTCACCAGAAGACGATGGTTGATTCCCGTTGTACTGTAGCCGGTTGGCTTTAATACGACGTTAGAGTTGACGCAGTCCACGAGACATACTCCATCTTTTCGAGTGAAGAAGGGCTGAGCTTTCGGAACCCCCATTTTTTTCGTATAGAGAGTAACACTTAATTCTATACTATCTCCTAGTGTTACTTAGTTGGCTGAAGTGATGATCTGGGTAAAGTTGACGAAATTCTTCAAGTGGCCTGGGCTTTTTGAACAGAGCACATTAAGTCAAATTAACCACCAATCTCTTCATTCTAGTCGCATGAAAGCTCTTTAAGAGATTCCAATGAGTTACTTGCAAAACCTAAGTGAACATGTAATATTTTTCAGAGAAATTAGGTCTTTTTGAGGACCAAGTAAAAAGGTGTCGTTATCAAGAGGATGAGGGATATCGCAGAGAAACTAAAGATAAAAAGAGGGCTATTTGGAAAACCTCCTAAGCGAAAGGATCGAAGTTGCTAATAAATCGAAAGATGCTGAGGCATTTCTGTCATTAAATATTGCCATATA